CTCGGCCAACAGCGTTCCGTGTCTCTAGCAGCCGTGTCCCAGGTCGCTAACAGCAGTCTCTCGGGTCGTTGGCAGCGTCTCCAGCAACAGAGTCTCGCCTTCAGCGGTGGCAGCATATTTAAGGGCCAGTAGTCATTGTTCCCTATTGGCTCTCCACGAGCGGCCATGCACGCACTTGCTTACGCGCGCCTGTGCATATGTCCTCATCGTGACCTTCAGATAGCGACAACCCGGCCCCGGGGCAGTCTCGCTTGCGCGTGCCTCCTGAAAGCGTAGGTACTAGCTAGGAGGCCCAGACACGTGTTTCGCCGGGATTCTGCCGCTGCTCGATACAGCTACGACTTATCAGTGGGTACCCTAGCCTTCTCTGTTTTCTTTCTGGTTAATATACCGGCTTTGAAAGTTCAGCTTTTTAATTTCCTTAGAAATTAATTTCTGTGCTCGGTGAAGATTAGTTTTTCAAGCTTTGTAGGCATACACCAACATTTCGTGTGTCTATTTTAGCCGAACTGCATCAGCCAGTGCGGGGTAACCGCGTTATACATACATGCCCCATACGGGCAGACAGTAGAATAATTTTATGTTGTAATTGACCATATTGGCAGCACAGGTACTGTGGATTTTGCAACCGCTGTGTAGATGCGTCGGCGCCTCGACCTAGAGCGTGTGACCATCGACGACCTTGAGGATATCGATTAAACTTTTGCAAACTTTGTAAAAGGGCTGTCATCGCGTTAACGCACTAGTCGCAGCTCACAGCTCGTTCAACATGTCTCAGTATTCCGTCGCCCTATGGAACAAGCTGCCCCCAATTACCGAGCGTTCCAGTTGTATTCATCGTGCCTGGGACCTGAAGAGCAACGTCTCGCAAAACACAATGAACGTACTTAGACCAGTGCAGACACATTTGCAACCCATTGAAGCGAAGCGCGCAATGCTGATCTTGGACGATCTAGTGACTAAGGTTCTGCTGGTTGGGGCTTTTCCGAAAATAATATCAAACATTGAGGTCAGTCAAGTGCAGCAGGTGTGTTTTACTCCATCCACAGACCTTTGCTCTGCTCGTTGGCAATGAGGCAGCAAATATGTTTAAGCAGATTGAACCTCTGGCAAAAGAGTTGGACGAAGGTGTTACCCCAGGGACATCTCTCAAGATCCTCGAATTGACGGAAATGGCAAACAAAGTAGACGATCCTTTTTTCAAGGAGCCGAAAAACAGGCTACTTAGGGTAAGTAGACTTTAGGTAATTTCTTGCATTCATCGGGGTTCTTACAAATAAATTCCTTAAGAAATTTAAGAGAGGTTTCATCAGGATAATCTAAATTTTGAAATTTTTACCAGCAAAAAATAATTAGAAATTAAGTCTTCTACCTAACAAAAGTCCAAACCAAATCTGATAGCAGATGCATTTTTACCTAGAGGCAGACAAATGTTAACGAAATATACTACAGACCAATTGGTTCCCAACAATTTTTAGCCCATAAAGTAGCTGGTCGGAATACGTTGTCGGTTATTCTGCAGGTTTCACTGTACACAATAATGACCTTAAGCTAAAATGGACAAGTTAATTTGTTAGCCTTGTCAATTGTCCTTGCAATTATTTGAGTAAAATTTGCCCCAGTTATTAGAATATTACTTAGCGTAATTTATGTTAATCTTATTTATATATTCTACTCAAAGAAAAGATATGATGTTTAGCGCAGCCAAGTTAATATCATACATATTATCTCGATCGTAATTTGTTTTTTAATTAACTTTACTTCGTTTGACGATTAAATATTATTTCTCTTAGATCTAGGTATACAGTCCACATGCATATCCATCAACAGAAATATCTAGGACTCAGGAATATTAGCTGATGCATGAGCAGAAAGGCTCAGCGAGTTCGTGCTGAGGTAGCTACCTTCGGTGTATCTTTAGTGATGTAATCTTTTTAATGTTCAACAAATGCGATATGCGGGGCAAAAGCACGGACGTCTCAGCTGACGTTTAACCGATACGCCTGAGCCTTTTTCAAGCCGAGAACAGTGATATCCCTTTCACGGCTTTACATAGACTTTAAAATTGCGAATACACGGTTTAGAAATCACACTTTTTAGTAACTATTAATCAATTCTGTGGGCCTCATGCCTTGATAAGCATGCAACTAAGTGCAACACAGACTTGCGTAGTCAAAAAATTAGATGAATGTAACAGCTGGCCAAACGCAGCTGTTGCATAATTAATTGCTCTAAGCCGCTTTTTGACCTACATTTTGCGAAGTTGCATGAAAGCCTGCCTTCTCATCTTAGCAAGCGTCTTTGGTCTAATTTAATGGCTAATTGTAAGAATCTAAAAAGAGGTAAATGGCGCATGACAGAATTGCTGTCCAGAGTTTAGTAGTATGCTTTAAATAATGGAGCAGAGTTTTCAAGTATGACGCAGGAGAGTGTTTATGGGTCAGGGATCCATCTTGGTTGTTCTGACGTCAAAAGAGTGCACTCTGGGCGCACTTTATCACATGTACGTTGTGGCTGCTGGCTAAAAGAGGTACGCATTAATTTCCAGGGCTTGAGAAGAAGCAGAGGTGATTGCTGGGACAACAATTTTATTCGCCTGGTGTTTCGAATTCCGTCGCGGATCTAGCCACAGACACAGTGGTAGAAACCGGTAATTCATACGCAGGGCTTTTTTTAGTGTTTATAGGATACAGTCGCTATGCTACTGCATACCATGACAATTTACGGCCCCCTCTGTCGATGCCAGTTGTCCATTTGTGTGCTACTTGCTTGATGGCCGACGTGTGGGTTGTGACCGGCTGAACTTAAATCATGCGTGCTGGATTTGGGCGGCCGTTTGGCGCAGGCATTAGGCGACGTGTTCCTCTGTACGTTCTCCAAACGGCGACCTAATTTGGCCAAACCGAGCCTCAGCACCGAATAGGGGTTGGACAGGTCGTTGTATGTGTCGCCATAAGGGGGAATGTACAGGCGAACGCGTCGCCGAATGTCTTCGCGCCAGAAAGCCAGATGGCCGAGCAATCATCATGCCCAAATCCAGCAGAGGCGATGAAAAT